AGTGCTTCCAGTTGTGCTGCTATTTTCACTTCAGCTGAAGGCTTACAGAATAAAATAGTTTTTCACTTAACAGTTCGTACACATGTTGCCCTGTGACAATGGGTAACAACCTCACAACACATCAGCGCTATCCTTACTCAACCTTGGGTTCCCTGTCACCAGCTTTCCTGTCCCCTTCTGCCTTCTAGCCCTTGTCCCTGGACTGCTTTGTCTCATTAGTCCTGTTTGTTTTTATGGGTTTTATTTTTACTTTAATTATTTTTTTAATTTATGCTTGAATTTGCTGATAATTTATTTTGTTTTTCTTGAGCCATTGTGAAATGAAAGAAAACGGTTGTTTATAAACTGTCCTTGATTAGTAAACGGAGTCCAAAATTTAGAGTTCATAAGTTATGACATAGTGTTCCCTCTTTTTTTCTTTCTGAATGTTTGCATGAAGATTCATTACCCCCAGATTACAGAAAGATAAGTATATACTTCAAACTCTAATTAAAGATCAAAAACTTCTCCACTTTTCTTCCTCTGTCAGATAATGCTTTTTTCTGAATACTCTCATAGTTTCAATTTTTACATTTTTTCCTAAAGAAGATAAATGGTCTATCCAAAACCCCATCCCACCCCCTTTTTTTTCTGAAGCATTTCTTTTTACTCACTTACGAAAGTGTAAAGGTATTTATTTTTATTGGCATGTATAATAATATTAACTTGTACTTAACTGGCTGCCCACCATGCGTGAGGCACTTCACACTCATCCTCACTAAGACCTACTGCAGTGAGTTCAGGCCCCCGCTTAACAGTGTGAGAGGGTAAGTGAGTCCTGTAAGGCTACCTGACTACTCTTCTGTTCGTCTACTTTACCCTCATGCCTTCATGAGCACTGTGATGTGTGTATGTTTTTAATGAGAATGAATGGCTATCCATAGTTAATTTTAGCTTTAAATTTCAACATTAATTTTAACAGTAAGCCTGGAATTGTGCTGTAGTCAGAAGTGAGCTTGGACATGTGTAGAACCTCAGTACAGTTTGATATTTGAACCTTGGCTTTTATCCAGACAGTATTGCTAGCGGGGAGAGAGAGTTGGAGCAGAAGAGCTTGCTTTAGGGAGATTTTTCATGATCTCAAGTAAAGAAAGCCAAGGCCGATGAATACAGAAGATGCACAAGTCGAAGGTCAGATGTAAGGTAAGGAGACGAGGACCTCACATTGACATGGGTGTCAGCCCCTCAGCGTGTTTCCTGTGGGAGGCCGTGCACGTTCTAGATGCTGAACATGAAAAGCATTCTTGGAAATGTGGAATTATGTGTGAAACATTCTCCTAAATAGTTCCAGTGACATCAGATTTTTCATTTTCTGTTTGTTTTGAGAATTTGTACAATTGTTAGAAGTAGCCATCAATTTGAGGCCATATCTGTGAGGTAGTATCATTTGTTGTTCCAATGTGAATTTGAATTGAGACTAAATAATAATACTGGTTTCTCACAAGACTTGAAAACTGGTGTGGAAGCACTGTGACGTGCACTCGCGCACTAGCTCTCTTCAGCGATGTTACTGCTTGCACACTTGCATAGTCTTCTGCACGGCCGCAAGGGCATCCTGCCATTGTACACTAGGAGTGCCCTTTACACGCAATACCACACTGTCTGCCGTTGTGGAAAGGAGCAGCCCACCCACTGCAGCCCTTTCTTAAATCAGATGAAATTACCACACCCCTGTTAAAAACTCTCCAGTGGCTTCCCATTGTGTTTAGAAAAAAATAATCCAAGCTCATTACCATGTGCTACAAGGCCTTGTGTGGTCTGGTCCCTGCTTCTCTCTATGATCATTTTGTGCCACTCTCTGTCTACCATACATCAGCCTGATTGTCCTTTGTTTCTCAAAAAATACCAGGCTTATATATACTTCTTCAGAGCCATTGCACTAGCTATTCCCTCTGCCTGGAATATTCTCTTCCAAATCTTGATAGGGTTGCATGACTGAATCCTTCTCATTCTTCAGGTTCTCAGCTCAAAAATCTTTCAGAGTCCTCTGACCATCTGTGATGGATTTACATTGTGCCAGTTGAGCCAAGCTGGAACTACAGTCCCCAGAATTCCCCGCCCTGCATAGTTTCTGAATAATGTGGACCACAAGAGATGGTGCAAGAGTTAGAAGTAAAGTAGCAGCCAAACTCTGTAACTGGGAGGTCCAAGCAGGGCATGAGACACTGTTGCAGCTCACCGGTGTTGTTGCTTATCTGCTGGCTCGTCCTGGTGTGGGGCAACAGCCAGGCCTGCGGGAACGCCAGCTTCTCCTGGATAACCTCTTTCAGCCTCCCTGACTGCTGGGCCAGGTGCATGTCCTACTGTATGACAAATGGTGCCAGCTTCTGCAGGAGAACTCCACTATCGAAGTTGGAGACGTGTAGGCAGTAAGAGACCGATGTGGGTTCCACTCAGTCACCTTGGTTCTACTTATCCTGCCAGGTTCCAGGCTGTCCTTGTTTCCCCTGCTTCATATCCATCTTCCATTCCTGACTGCCAGGAACGAAAGAAACAGCCTCCTATAATAATTCCCTTATATTATGTATTACATATATATATAATTAAAAATATGTGTATCATACACATTTTGTATATATAAATGTAAGGAGCTGTGGTAGCGCAGTGGTTAAGTGCTTGGCTGCCAACCAAGCCATGGGAGAAAGATGCAGTAGTCTACTTTCATAAAGATTACGGCCTTGGAAACCCAATGGGGCAGTTCTACTCTGACCTGTAGGGTTGCTATGAGTCGGAATCGACTCAACAGCAACAGGTTTAGTTTTGGTGTGTATAGATGAATACTAGTTCCTCTCTCATCAACCTTGATGGAATGACCACCCTAGTTGGTCTCATATTACCTTCTTTTTTATTTACAGTACTTACTGCTTTATCTTCTTTATTTACTTGTCTGTTGTTTCTTCAATTAGAATATAAATTTCAGGCAGATGTCTATTCATTGTTGCAGCCTAGCACCTAGAACATTCCCTGGTGCATATTATATGTTCAGAAATACTTTTAAATGAATGAGAGCAATTCTGAAAAAGTGTTGTTGTTAGGTGCCATCGAGTTAATTTTAACTCATAGCGACCCCATGTGACAGTAGACCTGGAGCAGATTGCCAGTTCTTTCTCACGTGGAGCCACTGGGTGGGTTTGAACCACCAACCTTTTGGTTAGCAGCTGAGCACGTAACTGTCTTAGCAGTATAGCATTAATTAAATAATATAGAGCCTCCCACAGTGACTTCAGTAGTGCCTTTGCCTGTTCTGTGTTCAATTATGTGGATTTGGGAAGTATGTAAAGCATGTAAAAGTAATCAAGTAGTGGTTATGAAGTCTAATTTCTAAAACTCATTGCAAGGGGATTCCTCAAGTTATCACATAGAGGCCATTTCCCTTCTTTTACATAAAATTGAGCAAAGAACAGGTAAAGGCATAAATGCAGCAACTTGGACTGATCTCAAGAGACGTAATGCTGAATGAAGAAAAAAACTGGTAACCAAAAGGTTGGAGGTTCAAATCCACCCAGAGGTGCCTCAGAAGAAAGGCCTGGCAATCTATTTATGAAAAATCAGTCATTAAAAACCCTATGAAGCACAGTTGTACTCTTGATACACGTAGTGTCTTAGTTTCTTAATGCTGCTATAATGGAAATACTACAGGTAGATGGCTTTAACAAACAAATATATTTTCTAACAGTTTAGCAGGCTGTAAGTCCGAGTTTAGAGCGCAGACTCAAGGGGAAGTCTCTCTCTGTCTGCTCTGGGGGAAAATCCTTGTCTCAGCTTCTCTGGAGTTGTTCTGGGCATTCCCTGGATATCTCCATGTGGCATCTGTCCTTCTCCTATTCAGGCTTGCTTCTCTGTGCCTAATCTGCTCTTTTTATATCTCAAAAGTGAGGAGGTTTAAGATACCCTACACAGATAAACAAAAAGAGAACCCTATTCCCAAATGGGATTATATCCACAGGTAATAGGGGTTACGGTTTCCATACATATTTTGGGGGAGGACATGATCACTCCGTAACATTTTACTCCTTACCCGCCCCCCCCACCCAATTTCACGTCCTCCTCACGTGCAAAATGCATTTACTCTTTCACATCTTCCCAAAAGTCTAATCCCATTCTAGCATCAACTCTCAGTCCAAAATACCATCTTCTGAATCATCTAAATCAAGTATGGGCGAGACTGGACATATTCCATCCTGGGACAAAATTCCTCTCTGTGAACTTGTGAAATCTAGAATACAGGCTGTCTGCTTCCAAAGTACAATGGTGGTACAAACACAGGGTAGGCATTTCCACTACAAAGGGGAGAAACTGGAGGGAAAGAAGAGCTTCACAGGCACCAAGCAAGTCCAAAACCCCACAGAGCAATTTTCACTAGCTTAAAAATAATCCTCTGTTCTCTGGGACCATCTGGGCAATGACCCTACCCTCCAGACTCTAGGTGTTGACCATGTTCCTCGGATTTTGGGTGGAGGCCGTTGGGTCCTGCGTGTTGGTCCTGCTTCCCAGGCCCCACTGGGATAGCCCAGCTCCCTCATTTTTTGGTGGCCTCATTCTACTCATCCACTTGAGTGGTTAGCCCACTTCCTCAGCCCTGGGTATATGGGGTCACCATGAGTTGGAGTTCACTAGACAGCAACTGTTTTTTTCCCTCAAAGCTTGGGATATTTAGTGTGAGTGAAAACAGCCCTGCATATCTCAATAGACCCTTAGAGCTTTAATGTTCAGTGTAATTCATAACAATCCCAAAAGAAAAAAAAAAAAAAACAGTTACCATTGAGTCGATTCTGACTCATAGC